GGGGTGCGGGGTACCGGCGGTGCGAGGCATCAGGACCAGGGAAAGGGTGGGGGGAGCGCGTTTACCAGTCCGTCGCCTCCGCCTCCTCACCGGCAGCCGCCATCTTCCCTCACGCCCCGGAACCGGAAGCGGAACCTCAGCGAGGGCGCACGGGCGGGGAGAGTGTTGCTAGGCGACGCCGTGGCGGCGGCGGGCCCGGGGGTGACCGGGCCGCGACGGGAGCGGAGCGGGGCGAGGTTAATCCCACCCGGGGGGCTTCGACCAGGTCTTGGGTCTCGTCCTGCCGTAGGGGAGCGGAGGTGGAGCCGGGGGGGCAGGGACAGAGCCCGGCGGAGGGCCCCGGGGACACCCGTCCTGGCGACCGGGCGCTGGGTGGAGCGCTGCGGGGAGGGGAGATGCCGGCGGGGAGGGGAAGTCCCAGCCCTTGGGATTTGGGATCGCAGAGCGTGTAGCCCTGTCTTCCCAGCACTGGCACTGCCCATCTCCATCGCAGCTGGGGTTGGGGGTTGGTGCCCCTTGGCAGCCAGTGGCGGAGGGCAAGAGGAGGGGAGAGAGGGCGAAGCGCTTTTCCTCACCGGCCGTTTTGCCTCAGCAGCTCAGCGGCCCCCTCCCTGAATGCCCGCGATGGAGAAGTACCATGTCCTGGAAATGATCGGCGAAGGCTCTTTTGGGCGCGTGTACAAGGGGCGCCGGAAACACAGCGCCCAGGTGAGGAGAAAGGTGGCAGGGGAGAGGGCTGGGGGTCTGTTGTGTGGCACCGGGAATGATTTCTGGTGGCTGTTAGGTTCTAGGGCCTTGCCAGGCCTTTGGGACTCAGCACTCATCCATTTTTCTGCTGACATTCCTGGCCAGCTCTTGCTGGCACAGACTCATTCAGGTTCAAGGGACCTCAGGAGGTCTCTAGTCCATCCACTGCTCAAAGCAGGGCCAGCACTAAATCCAGATCCTGTGAAACCTCAAGGACAAACACCCCACAGCCAGTGCTTGACTATACTTGGGGTGAATCGTTTTTCCTTAAATCAAGTTGAAGCTTCCCTGTTTCAATTTGTAATCCTTGTGTCATCCTCCCACATGCTTCAGCCCCCTCACCATCCAATGGCCTCTGCTATACCCCCTCCAGCCTATTGATGTCTTTCTGGGCCAAAAACTGGCCACAATATTGCCAACACAGTCTAAGAAGTTCCAAATAAAGGGCAATAGTCACTTCCCTCCAACTCTTGCCTTTTGATACAGCTCAGGGTGCTGCTAGTGCTCCTCACTGCCAGGGCATGCTGCTGGGTCATGTTAGGCTTGCTGTCCATCAGCATCTCTAGGTCCTGTCCCATGTTTCTGGCAGTCCTAGTTTTGTCTGTGCTCACTGATTAAATTTCTTTCCTTTAAACACCAGTGTGCAAAGTACTGTGAGCACCTGTATCGATGTGCAAGGGCCTGGGGGGAGCCCCAGCTCCAAGGGATCCAGTGAAAAAACATTTTGTTTGGTGTGCTTAGCTGGAAAAGCTGAGGCCCATTTGGGTTAAACACAGTCTCTGCCAGGGTGGGTGGGAACTTGGTCTGATCCCAGCTTTGCCTGCTTTGAAAGGTGGTGGCATTGAAGTTCATACCCAAGGTGGGGCGGTCTGAGAAGGAGCTGAAGAACCTGCAGCGGGAAATTGAGATCATGAGAGGCCTCCATCACCCCAACATCATCCAGATGCTTGACAGCTTTGAGACCGACAAGGAGGTGAAGGGGACTACTCCGGGCAGATGCTTTTGCTTGACTGGGGCAGGGGAACAGGGGCTGGCCCCTGCTGTCATAGGGACCTCTTTCTCAGGAGATGCTGGTGACACCCTCCCAGGGCCTGGTCAGTGTTTTTCAGAGCCCTCCAATATGTGCTGTGTAGGGAGCCAGCACCTATCTGGCCTGTGTGGGGTGCACTACGTCATATGCAGAGGTGAAGGAGCTGGGCAGGGTGTGTGTGATGCAAGAGGAGTGGTTTTGAATCACAGGATGAAGGTCACTCTTCAGTTACCTCATCAGTCTCTTCAGAGACTGACTTTTCACTGATTTAAACTCTCATGGAGAGAGTATGATAAGAAAGGACTGAAGACTGTGCTCTGGGATATGGAGGCATGAAATAAAGTAATTGGGTAGCAGATTCAAAACAAGCTCAAGGGAGTGATTTTTACCCACTGGGCTTGAAAGTACCATTCTGGGCTTGTCCTGTCCTTCCCTCTTCCCTGGTTTCTGCTGGCTGTCCGAGGTAAGGACAGCCACAACGCCTCTGCTAAGTGCCAGATCCTTGCTGCAGTGCAGCCACAGGGGATCTCTCCCATCCCAGGTCCCAGCCCAAGCTGATGGGCTGTGCATGATGACAGCCCAGCATGTCCCTCAGATTTCCTACCCTGCTCTGTCCCGGTCCCCAGGGCATGGTGGGGATGCACCTGGGTGAGTGCCTGATCTCACCATGCTGCTCTTACCTCCAGGTGGTGGTGGTGACTGACTATGCAGAGGGGGAGCTCTTCCAGATCCTGGAGGATGATGGGAGTTTGCCCGAGGACCAGGTGACTGTCAAGGCAGTGGCCACACAGTGTTTTCGGCAGGATGGAGAGAACAGGATTTGTCTGCCTGCAGGCAGCGAGTCTCTGCTGTGGGTCAGGAGACATCAGAAGGGTGAGGGTGGCTCCAGGGCTTTACCTGGCAGAGCTTCTGAAGGGGATGGGGAGGGCGCCAGGTTGCACTGGGGGACAGTGGGGTCCAGCAGGGACCTCAATTTCCCTGTTCCCTCTCCAAGGACCACAGCACCAGGCTGCTGCCTTGGCCATCGGCCTACTCCAAGGAACTTCTGGCCCACGGCTGGGGCTGGTCCCTGCCCCGAAGAGGGCAAGGGCAGGAGTGGGGGTACTGGGGAAGCCAGGCTGTAAGAGACCCCATGGTTGTGCCAGCTAGTGGCACCATGGGACACAGGGTGAGGCTCCCATGTCTCCGGCAGGTCCAGACCATAGCTGCCCAACTGGTCTCTGCTCTCTATTACCTGCACTCCCACCGCATCCTGCACCGCGACATGAAACCCCAGAACATCCTGCTGGGCAAAGATGGCATCGTCAAGCTCTGTGACTTTGGGTGGGTGCTGGGGGCCAGCTTGAGGGGGACACTTGGCCTTGGGGCAACCAAGGGATGTCCTGGATGTTGCAGAGGAGGAGGGAGGAGTGTGGAAGGGGCCCTGGATTCTGTGCGCCTTTAGAGGTTGAGCAGGGATGGGGTATTTTGGACTCCAGAGGGGAGAGATGTTGGTAAACTTGTAGGGATCTCCCTGGGAGCTGCAATGGATGTTTCAGCCTGAACTGGCCATCTGTACTTTTCTCTGACAGATTTGCCCGTGCCATGAGCATCCACACCATGGTGCTGACTTCCATCAAGGGCACCCCACTGTACATGTCCCCTGAGCTGGTGGAGGAGCGGCCATATGACCACACGGCGGACCTGTGGTCTGTGGGCTGCATCCTGTACGAGCTCTTCGTGGGCACTCCTCCCTTCTACACCAGCAGCATCTTCCAGCTTGTCAACCTCATCGTCAAGGACCCTGTCAAATGGCCCACGGCCATAAGCCCAGTCTTCAAGGTAAGGGGGGAGGCCCTGTCTATGGGGTGAGATCCGTTAATGTGGTAGCAGCTTTGGCCTTGCCTGCTGCCCTCGTGGGCCACTCTTAGGTTTTATGTCCCCTAACAGGGATTTCAGAATATAGAGAAGGGGTGAGAGCTGGGCTTCCTGGGAGGGGGACCCTTATCACTGCTGTCCATAAGCGGGGAAACTGGGGCTGACAGCAGAGTAGTGATTCACTGCGCTGGGAAGGGAAGTGTCTTCCGGTCTGCCCTAAGCGCTAGAGCCACTCCTTTCCCAGAGCCAGGCAGGGAACGCAGGCCTGGGTGCCCTCACTGGGGGAGACTGGTGGGTACACTGTGCTCACTGGTGGATGCCAAGCATGTGTTGGTGACCCTGGTGCTGTGCTGCCCTGTAGAGCTTCCTGCAGGGACTACTAATGAAGGACCCTCGCCAGCGCCTGTCATGGCCCGAGCTGCTCTCTCATCCCTTCATTGCTGGACGGGTTACTGGTGAGTACCAGCTCTTTTTCCAGCACTGGCCAGGTCCGTTTCCTCCTCCTACTGCCTAGAGCCTGGGAGGACCACCCTGCCCTGCTATTTTTACTACCCTAGTCTTTGCCTCCCTCCTCTCAGCTTTCTCCAAGCACTGACCTAGCTCTTGCCCTGGGCTTGCTCTGGGTCCCCCAGGATTCCCCTGGGATCCCAGAGCCCATCACTCTCCCTGTGTCCCAAGGGAGAGCTGCTGATGAAGTTCTCCCCTCACTTCCCCAGTGATTGATGACACAGAAGAACATGGGATCTCAAACCCCTTCACCACCAAGCTGTCCCCAGAGCTGCAGGCCCTGAAGGAGCAGCAAGCCCATTCCATGGCCCCCAGGAGCGGCCAGTCCAGGATCCTGAGAAAGGCACGGCAGAAGATGGTTGAGAAGGCACAGAAAAAGGTGGAGGAAAGTGTGGGATTCCCCTCACTGTGTTCCACGGTCAGGGTAAAGGAGGGGCACTGAAATGGGACCTGAGGGGAAAAACAGAAGGTACATGGGTTAGGCTGGGGTGCCAGCCACATACAAGGCAGGATGTGGGGTCCTCAGGGTGGTGAGGTCTAGGGGACTCATCTGGCTGAGTAACCCTGCCCTGACCAAACTTCTCTGCCATCACCCAGGGGCAACTGAAGACAGGTGATGCACCTATGAAGGACTCTGGCAAAGGACGCCCAGGGCATAGACCCAGAATAGCTCCAGGGAAGGCAGCCCTTGGGGAGGGGGAGCCACTGGCTGCCTCCAACGAGAAGAACCTCAGTGTCCTGCAAGGAAAGAGCAGCATGGCAGAGTGGGAGTTGGAGGGGCCTCCTCCCAACCCACGGTGAGGGAAGGCTGAAGCTGGGACAGGAAGAAGAGGGGAAGGCAAGGTCATTTACTGACAGTGCTGTTTCCTTCACCAGTGAGCACAGCATCACTCAAGACTACGAGCGTGAGTTTGCCGGAGCAGGTGCCCCTCTGCAGCCTGGTGCTGGCAGGGCAGAGCCATGGGACAGGCGCAGCATTGAGACCGTGGACCTGGAGAGTGAGGTAAGACAGTGTCTTGTGGTGAGAACAGCAGGGCCCAGTCCCCAGGGGCTCGTACAGAGACCCTAGGGCAGGCAGGGTCTGTGGCACCAGTCCTCTCTCCTCTGTGGCTAGGAGCTGGAGAGCGATGAGGAGTGGCAGCACCTGATGGAGGCCACTGAGCCCTCAGCCATGCAGCTGAGCACGCCACTGAGCCTCCTGAGGGATCCAGCCTTCCAGCACCGTGTCCAGGCCCGCCTGGCAGACTCTGCTCAGCAGGTGAGTGATGACTGGCCCAGGCAACTACAACTGGGGACATGGATGCTGCCTTCTTCCCCAGAATTGGGTCGGGAGTATTGGGAGAGTCC